CTGCTGGACACCTTTGTAGGGTAGATGGACAAAGCGGTGATTCAACTGGAAAAATGAAGTGCCTGGTATCATCTGTTGGATTCTGTACATGTATGTGAATGTCTACGTTTTCAATCTAGTAATACGGATTATTACCTGTACACCCACCCAGACATTATGGCCCTAATTCAGGAGATACGTACACACTCACAGTCATGTGCACACGTGCATGAACGTGCACACACACACACACACACACACACACACACAGAGTCAGAAGCAGAATCTATATTCCACTAACATGCCTTGGACATTTCTCCCGGCAGCCTTGTCTTCTCCATTTTCCCAGCCAGAAGGCCTACTCAGGGGTTGTAAACTCCTTGCTACAAGAGCCAGGGTAACATAAATATGTTACAGTTGAGCATATGATGGTAAACGGTGGACTGGGTGATTTGAAGCAGCTTGCTGTCCATCCTAAGAAGGTGGCCCCGCCCAGCTCCATTTGTTGCCCTACTTGTTTCCTGCTGCTGTTGTAACAAATTTCTACAAACTTAGTAGCTTAACATAATACAAATGTATTATCTTACAGTTCTGGAGATCAGAAGTCCAAAATAGGTCTTATGGGGATTGCAATATTGTGATTTATAAAAATATATATTTGGTTATTCAGATGACCAAAATATATTCCTCATATATGTTTGGTCTTTGTCTAGGATTCCTGACTCAAAGCTCCTAAAACCCTTGGAATTTCTTAAGTGTTCAGAGGGATAAAGGTGTCTTTTGCTATGCTAATGAGACTACTTTGGGGAAAGCACCTAAGGTTTGGGGCTGGTTGCCAGGGATCCAACCACTTGTTAAAGAGTTGGAACTTTCAGTCCCCTTTCCACCTCCCCAGAGGGGAGAGGGGCTGGAGATTGAGTGCAAACACCAATGGTCAATGATTCCATCAACCATGCTTATGTAATGAAGCCTCCATACAAATCCAAAGGGATGGGGTTTGGAGAGCTTCCAGGTTGGTGAACACATGGAAGTCCTGGGAGAGTGGCATGCCTGGAAAGGGCATGGAAACTCCTGGTCTTTTCCCCATACCTTGCCTTATGCATCTCCTTCATTTGGCCATTCCTGATTTATATCCTTTTATAACAGACGAATGATACAGTAAGTGAAATGTCTCTCTAAGCTCTGTTAGCCATTCTAGAAAATTAATTGAACCCAAGAGGAGCTCATGGAAACCTCTAATTTATAGCCAGTGGGTCAGAAGCCCAGCTAACAACAAGGGTGCTGGAGGTGCAGTCGTGTAGGACCAAACCCTCTACATGTAGAATCTGATGCTATCTCTGGGTAGATGGTGCCAGAATGAGTTGAATTCTTAAGGCACCCTGCTGGTGTCTGAGAATTGTTTGGTGCTGTATGGGAAAGCCCTCCCCATCCCCACCCCCACTGGAATTAATACCAGAACCTATTTAGGTATAAAAATGTGTTGGCAGAGTTGCCCTCCTTCTAAAGATTCTAGAGGAGAATCTGTTCCTTGCTTTTTCCTTGTTCTAGAGGCTGCCCATATTCCTTGACTCATGGCTTCTTTCCATCTTGAAAGCCAATAATCACATCACTTTGACCTCTGATCCTGACCTCTCCTTCCCTGACTCTGAGCCCCCGCCCCCCCCCCCCCCATCTTCAACTTATAAAGAGCTTTGTGACAGGGAGTCTGGGTGGCTCAGTTGGTTAAGTGTCTGACTTCAGCTCAGGTCATGATGTCACAGTCTGTGAGTTCAAGCCCTGCACGGGGCTCTGTGCTGACAGCTCAGTTCTGGAGCCTGCCTCTGATTCTATCTCTCCCTCTCTCTCTCTGCCCCTCCCCCACTCATTCTCTGCCTCTCTCTGTCTCTCAAAAATGAATAAACATTAAAAAAAAAATTTTAAGATCTTTGTGATTATATTGGGCCCACCCAGAAAATCTAGAATAATCTCAAGATCTTTACCTTAATCACATTTGCAGTCCTTTGCTACATAAGGTAATATAGTCACAGGTTCCAGGTATTACAATGTGGACATCTTTGGGGGACTATTATTCTGCCTATCTCAGTTGCTATATAGGAATGCAGGCCTGATACAGCCAGATCTTCCAATTCTTTTCAAGATAAGCTAGACATCTGGATTTTTATATGACTGTGCAGAAAGAGTTAACACAGCAGGTTGAGACTGCTCCTTAGCAAGGTCTGCTTGTGGAGCATCTGAGTGGCTCAGTGGGTTAAGCCTCCTACTCTCAATTTTGGCTCAGGTCATCAGGTCATGATTTCACGGTTCATGAGTTCGAGCCCTGCATCAGCAAGGAGCCTGCTTGGGATTCTTGCTTTCCCTCTCTCTCTCTGCACACTCCCTGCCCCAGTAAGTAAGTAAGTAATAAACAAATAAGTAACTTGTAAACTTGGCTTTGGCTGGTGTCTGGGAACTTGGCTCTTTATAGTGCTCCCAGTCGATGATGAACTGATCAGGATGGTTCGCTGAGCCTAGACAGTGTGTAAAGAACATGGCTGATACTGAACAACTGCTTTCCTTCTAGGAGTCTGGAATTTTGGTATGTGCAAAGCAGAGGCGTCTCTGTGACCAGCCCTCACCATAAACCTTGATTGCTGAGTCTCTAACAGGCTTCCTTGGGCAGAAACACTGCAGGAAAATGTTGCTCCGTTTTCATCTTGGAGAAAGAGCATGCTGCGTGAGCCCTCCTGGGAGGGAGAGGGTATAGGTTCCTTCAGATTCCACTTGTGTCTTTTCCCCTCCTAATCCAGCTGTGTAGCCTTCCTACGTCACTGCCGTTGACCTTAGCTGGGAGTACAACTTGATGTCCTGAGTCCTGTGAGTCCTTCTAGTAAATCTCCTGACATGGGGATGGTCTTGGGGATGCTCCAACACAAAGACAATTCCTGATTTTTCTCATATTCTAAATGCTACGTGGATTAACACCATGAGGACCAGACAAAACAATTCTGAGAGGGAACTTGGCCTCCAGACTGCCAGTTTGAAACTTCTGGCTTCTTAAGAATTCTACCCTAGTTTCACTCCCATCTCTGAAGTGAAGCAACTCCTCTGACACACATTTAACAAATGCTTACCCCCATGACATCCTAGGAACCAGGGACACAAAGATGAATAAAGAAGATACAATCCTTACCTGGAATGAGTTTACAACCTGGAAGACAGACATGTACACAAATAACTGCAGCATGATATGCTATGCGCACTAAAGTAAATGAATAAGATGCTCTAAGAATCCAGACAGCTGTTTCCACTGCACTTTGCTGTGTATGTACACATCCCTAAATTCATCTGGTCGGTCCTCACGATCTGAAGTTGTTATCCCTGTTTCACAAAGGAAGAACCTGAACGTGAAGGTCAAAGAAGTTTAGGGTGTTGCTTAAGAGAGCTCAGGTCTTTTACAATACTCACTCTGCTGGGGTGGGGGTGCACAAGAGAAAAGGAGGGTCAGGGAAGGTCTGAAGGAGACCATACGTTCTGTTATCACCAAGGGTCTCCGTAGAGACAATGAGCCGGTTTCTCAAAGCAGCCTCACTATATGCCCTTGCCACTTTTCACTTTTATGAATGAGTCTTGGTGGCAAGTCTATTGGGAAAAGAGACCTGGTCATACTTCACTGTGTTCCCTTCCATGCTTTTCCTAAGTAAGGTGCCAATTAGCTATTTTGTAGGTAGGAAGTTGCCATTGCTAGTTTTTCATCCTGCTGTGCTGTCCCGTCAGACAGCTCTGGCCCTAAGGAAACACTGTGGTAGGTGAGGCAGGTCAACCTCTTCCAAACGACTAGCCTGAGAGGCAGGTTCCTTCTGGACATTCCAATGGGCACAAGGGACATTTCCTGATGATTTCCCCAGTGAAGGGAGACAGCTAGAGAATGTATGGCGTGTAAGGGAAAGCAGAAGTAGATCGCAAAGCCCATTCCCGCAAGAAATGGGGATGGAATGGGGGAAGAAGGAATAGCTTCCGTGGAGGCCTCTGCCTGAGCGTTAAAGGCATTACGACGCAGGTCACAGATCCTGGCCATGGCCTAGGAACAGGAGAAGATGGGAAAGTCGAAATCAGGCGCGATATCAAAATCCTTTTTTCCTCTTCAGAGTCAACAAACATTTTGATTCCTCACAATAACGCCGTCAGTGCGGAATCAGCGTCCCCTTTTCGCCGATGAATACCCAAGGACTCGGTGAGGTGAGGTCACGTGCCCAAGGTCACACAGGGCAGTCAGGACAGGAATCCACGTCCTGGAGGCTTCCGTCCAGAGTCCAGAGCTCCGGCGGTTCTGGCCGCAGGGAAGCGGGCAGGTGGCGGTGGCGAGGGCTCACTAATAGTGACGGCGCTGATGACGGGGCCACAGACCGGCGGCCAGCCGGCGAGCCGCGGCAGATTCCTGGGGTCGGCCCTCGCAGGCAGGCTGCGGGGGTTGGCTCCGTGGGGTACTCTAAGGGATCCGCACCCTGGGGCTCAGGCTGTGCAGCTCTTGGTCCTCGGCCGCCCACGGGCGTTGGCGAAGGCCAGCCGTCCAGGCCGAGGACCAGCAGGCCGTGTGCAGCTGCAAAGGGTTCCCCCGGGACTGGCCGGAGCCTCCGGGGAGGCGGGGCCGGGAGGGCACGGGCGAAGTCTGGCTGCAGCCACCTCGCAAGGGCAGCCTGTACAGCACCCGGCCTAAGTCAGGACACCTGGGCGATGGGCGCCCGCATGACTCAGGTGCTGGCGAGATGCGCCCTGGCACCATGCCCTGCGTCCCTGCAGCGGAGATCCGGAGCCCAGAGTGTCGGCTCAAGACCTGGAGCGAAGGGTTAAAGCCCGGGTCGCCACTCCTAGCCCATGCGAGACAGGTGAGACCAAGACCGGGAAGGGGGAGGGGACCCTCCCTGGCCCCACCCCTCGAGGCCGCCTACCCTTCGGGGGCGTGGCCTCCGGGCCGCACAGCCCTAGTGGGTGAGCGCAGTGCGCGGGCCCCGCCCCCCGCCTATAAGAGCGGTGCGGCACTGCAGCTAGCGCAGTTCTCACCGAGACCCGTCACCCGGACTCTACGTGAGACCCACCGCCCGGACTCACCATGGTGAGTGCGGCCCCGCCGGGATCGCGCCAGTCCCCTTATTGCCCTTCTCCTCCTTGGGGGCCCTCCCTCCCGGAATGCTCCGGACCCTCCATCCGGCGTTCCGGGGCTCGAGGAGGTGCGAGGGTTTGTGCATTCCCCCACCCCCACTGTCTTGGTGACTTTGACCGAGTCGTTCTGTCCACTTTTGGAGGCTGGGGAAGAGGGGTGGAGTGGAGTGGGATTCTTCGCTAGCCGAGAGGCTGAGAGGAGCCCTTCTGGAAATCGCCTCCTGCTCCACCAAGCATTTGTGCCCTAACCCTCCTGGGGGGAGTCGCAGTCCCGCTCCCCGTCCTTTCCGCGGATGAGAGAGACCCCCAGGGCTGCCCTCCGCCCCTGGCCTCCCCCCACCGCGACCCCCGCTCCCCGGAACTGAGCGAACACGTGCTTAGCACAAGAAGGTGGTAGGGGGTCAGATTACTTGGTTCAGCATCCCCTTTTCCTCCGACTGTGTGTGCATCCCTCCTACCCACAGCCCTCCCCCCCCCCGTGACTCAGCACCCCGCTTCTGAGCCAGGAGGGGTGGCAGGAATGGGGTTCAGCCTCATGAGGCGAGTCGGCCCCTCTCCTGCCCGAGCCCAGTGAACGGACGGGCAGAGACAGCTGGCGCTGAGCGAGAGCGCGGGCCCAGGCCAGGTTGGGGGGAGGGGAAAGAGGTGTGTGTAGGGGGGTGGTATTTATAGCCCGGGAACGGGGGCCGAAATCCAATCTTCGCTTTCGGCTGGGATGTAACTGGAAAGAATCTAGAAGGAGGGGCGATTGCGGGACCGGGGGTGCAGGATGGCGCTCACCCTGCGCAGGGCAAGGCGGGTTACCTCTGGGGCCTCACCGCAGGTTCCGCTTCCTTTTCTGGGTGTTTGGAAACCGTCACCCCGCCATTTCGGTGTTGGGAAGGGAGGCTGCGCGGGCTCTGCGCCGCACCACTTTGGCTCTTTAGGGGTTAATTTCAGACTGGCAGGGATGAGCCTAAGGCAGCCGGTGCCCCAGTGCCCACAACCCTTTTTGCCCGCGCCTGCCATCTGCACCCTCTGCTATTTCCGTGAGGGCTGCGCGGTGGGTGAAGGTGGTGAAGACACCCAGAGTGTGGGGGTGGAGGTGGGGAGAGGAGCCAGCTGGGATTGATCTCCAGAGCCAGATGGGATTTAAAGGTGTTGGAGAGGACACCCTGATGGTCAGTGTGGTCAGTTGATGCCAGACTCCAGGGCTGAGACACCTCTGCAGCCCACAGGAAAGAAAGGGGGAGAGGGTTATATGAAATTCCAGCTGCTCATCCTCAAAGAATTAGTCAAGTTGGGGGGCTTCTAGCTATAAACTCATGGCCCTGGAAAACCTGTCCTTTCTCAGGCTCTTGAGAAAGGTAGCTTTGGGAGTATAAATCTGAAAATGGCTGAAAAGTCGCTTGTCCTTGTCTCAGAGTCATTGCAGTATCTGCCTGCTTTTCATGTGCACTTACCCTCTCTGTCCTCCCTGAGTGTCTTCTGAGTGTGGCAGGGTCATGTGGAGCCACAGCTCTTACTTGACAAGGTCCTCACAGGGAAGTAGACTGAAGGGATTGGTTTGCCCTACTGGGTGCCTCCAGTTGTTAAGTCCTATGTGGGGCAGCCTGGGCAGGCTGCCAGCCTCTTCCCACCTCTGCCCAGCCCCAGGCGTCCACTTTGGCCAACCGAAGCATCCTGGCTGGTAGGTGATAGGGTGGGAGAGAGGCTCATGAGGTGAGGGCTGTAGATGTGGGGCTTATGCTGTGTTCCCTCTCTTTATACCTCAGCGTGAATGCATCTCAGTTCATGTGGGGCAAGCAGGTGTCCAGATGGGCAATGCCTGTTGGGAGCTCTACTGCCTGGAACATGGGATTCAGCCTGATGGGCAGATGCCCAGTGATAAGACCATCGGTGGAGGGGACGACTCCTTTACCACCTTCTTCTGTGAAACCGGTGCTGGAAAGCATGTGCCACGGGCAGTGTTTGTGGATCTGGAGCCCACTGTGATTGGTGAGAGGAAGATGGGGTGGAATTGAGGGGAGCAGAGAGGGACTCTAAGCTTCTCTCTGGCGAGATGGTGTCTAGACCTGGCTTTCCTGGCGCTGCAAACTCTTTGTGCCATCTTTGAAGCTGAAGAAGGCGGGCTGATTGCAGGCCAGGCTGGGTGGTGGGTGTGGGTTTCTCTCACAGGCTGGTATCACAGGCTTACAGAAGGATGAGCTTTTCCATACATCTGACCGCAGCTACCACGCTGGGGGAGGGAGGTCCCTGCTGAGCACAGCCTTGTGGTTTGTGCCCTAACGATGTGTTTGTGCCCTTCCAGATGAGATCCGAAATGGCCCATACCGGCAGCTCTTCCACCCAGAGCAGCTCATCACTGGGAAGGAGGATGCCGCCAACAACTATGCCCGTGGTCACTATACCATTGGCAAGGAGATCATTGACCCCGTACTGGACCGGATCCGCAAGCTGGTGAGAATTTGGGATGGAAGGGAGGGAGCTTTCAGACGATGCTAATGGTCAGGAACGTCTTTTTTCAGGATCCATTTCAGGGGGTCGTCTCTAATTGTATGTGTTCCTGAGCATGTTCCAGACTCTGGGTCTCTGCCCTGACTCCTGAGAGATTTTAGGCTTTTGTGGAGCCAGAAGGTAGAGTTTCTCAGGCCCCTCGCCCACCTACATTGCTGTTTCTCTTTCCTGCCTTTCAGTCTGACCAGTGCACAGGACTTCAGGGCTTCCTGGTGTTCCACAGCTTCGGAGGGGGCACCGGCTCGGGCTTCACCTCACTCCTGATGGAGCGGCTCTCGGTTGACTACGGCAAGAAATCCAAGCTGGAGTTCTCCATCTACCCCGCCCCCCAGGTGTCCACGGCCGTGGTGGAGCCCTACAACTCCATCCTGACCACCCACACCACCCTGGAGCACTCGGACTGTGCCTTCATGGTGGACAACGAGGCCATCTATGACATCTGCCGCCGCAACCTGGACATCGAGCGCCCCACCTACACCAACCTCAACCGGCTCATCAGCCAGATCGTCTCGTCCATCACGGCTTCCCTGCGCTTCGACGGGGCCCTCAACGTGGACCTGACGGAGTTCCAGACCAACCTGGTGCCCTACCCTCGCATCCACTTCCCCCTGGCCACCTATGCGCCGGTCATCTCTGCAGAGAAGGCCTACCACGAGCAGCTGTCCGTGGCAGAGATCACCAATGCCTGCTTCGAGCCTGCCAACCAGATGGTGAAGTGCGATCCCCGTCACGGCAAGTACATGGCCTGCTGCCTGCTGTACCGCGGAGACGTGGTGCCCAAGGACGTCAACGCCGCCATCGCCGCCATCAAGACCAAGCGCAGCATTCAGTTCGTGGACTGGTGCCCCACGGGCTTCAAGGTTGGTATCAACTACCAGCCACCCACCGTGGTGCCCGGGGGTGACCTGGCCAAGGTGCAGCGCGCCGTGTGCATGCTGAGCAACACGACCGCCATCGCCGAGGCCTGGGCCCGCCTGGACCACAAGTTCGACCTGATGTATGCCAAGAGGGCCTTTGTGCACTGGTACGTGGGCGAGGGCATGGAGGAGGGGGAGTTCTCTGAGGCCCGGGAGGATATGGCTGCCCTGGAGAAGGATTACGAGGAGGTGGGCATCGACTCCTATGAGGACGAGGATGAGGGAGAAGAATAGAACAGCTGCCTGGAGCCCATTCACTATGTTTATTGCAAAATCCTTTCGAAATAAACAGTCTCCTTGCACGGTTTCTTGTCCCCTCTGTGAGTGCTTGAGCTTCTGCTGCCTTCCTCTCTGTGCTGCTGCCGCTGCCACTGCTTCACTGCTTCTGCTGCCGCCCTCATTCTTTGCTGCCCATGACCCCTTTCCCTTCCATGGCTGAAGGTGAGATCTGCCAAGGGGTCCTTGCCAGGCCCAGGAAACGTGACCTCAGGGACCTTGATGTAAGATCCCAGGGGCGCCCAGGAGAGTAGAGAGGAAAGGAGGACTGAATCCCGGACCTGTCTGTCCAGCCACAAGCTGTTGAAAAGATACGAGTTCTCACTTCCTTTCCAAGTAGAAGTTTAAGTCCAGCAGTTTCTGTATTTGAGTTAGACTGCTACCCTATTCTTCCTGCTGCTTCTGCATTCACTGACTCTGGAAGCTTGGCCCGGGCACCTCTGTGCGTGATGAGGGCTTGGGAGCGGGGCTGGGCTGGCCCACAATTCCTGGGCACGGAGCCTAGTCATAAGCTTGGGGGATGGGAGGGGACAAGGGCGATCTCCTTGAGTTGTGTCACTGCACCTCCGAGCAGCTTTGCACAGCTGAGTGTCTCTCTTGCTGCATTGCTGGGGCCTAGGGCTGTGCCATTAAAAGTCAGGTCATCTCTTCTCTGTTTGTGCTCTCTTTCTGGCCTCAGCCTCTATGCTAGCTGGGGGGAGCTTCCTGCCAGGGCCCTGGAGAAAATTCCAGCATTGCTAATAGGCACCCCAGGACCCACATCGACGTCAGCACATGGGGGTGAGCATGGGGGGGAGGGAGAAAAGAAGCTTCGATCTCAGGAGCAGGAGATGCCAGCCCTGCCCTTGCCTTCCCCTCCCTGGTGATTCAGGGACGCAGTGCCCTTCCCTAGGGAACAGTTCAGCCTAGCAAAGGCAGGGCCCCTGTTTACTCAGCAGAGTAGACAGGAAGTGGCAGCTGGATACTGCCACACCAAGTGGCCTCATTAATCATTAACCATGTGTGAGCTAGAACCATCTGGGAGAAACTGTGGGCCACAAGGCTGCCACCTCCACTCCCCTTGCCCCCAGGCTGAGGCTGGGAGACCTGTTATGTTGTTGTCCCAAAGCTTCCTCAGGTGTCTCCACCCAGGAGCCCTTGCCTGGCAAACCGGCTGGGCTGCTTTGAGTCAGCTACCCACTCCTGGGAATGAAGGAAAGAATTGAGTGTGCTTCTAGGGAGCCCTGGTCCCAGTTCTTAGCACAGAGGCCAGCTCAATCCAGAACAGCTTTAAGTGTTTGACCAAGGCAAGCTCGGAGAACTGCCCGCTCCTGGCTAGCCAGATGTAAGGTAAGGATACCTGCCTCCTCACGTGGAATGACGAAGTCCCACCACCCTTCACTACACCAGTGTCTCTTCCCAGTCTGTTCCCTTGGAAACGGCAGCCAGACCTTGGGCCCCTGGCACCTCTTCTCACTCCAGGAACAATGAGACTAAGATCCACACCAAGCTGCTTTCACTTTATTCTTCTTTTTATACATTCTCTTGCTCCCAGATGTGGAGGCAGACCATGATGTAAGCTCAGCAGTCCTGCTCAGAACCTGTCTCGATTCTATCAGTTTCCCTTTCCCCATTCCCCAACCCTGTCCACCGCAACTCAATCTGTCCCCCTGTTCAGTTGTTGCTCTTTGAGATAAGCGAGCAGAAGCAGAGACAGAAGACTGAGTTGACTGTCCCCACCCACCTGCCCCCAACTGCAAGACAGCAGTCCTGGAGAGAACACATGGAGATTCTAATAAGGGGATGGGATCCTCCTTCCAAGGCCCGGGGGCCACCTCAACATGGCCACTGGTTTGTTCAGATTTGGGTGGTGTGCTGGCCCAAAGCCGGGGGTTGCAGTGCCTCCAGCTGACTGAGAAGGAGATGAATGGGAGGACGCTGCTGGGGGTCTACAGTCATCATGGAGGCCAAGAGCTGCCGCAGTGCTGAAGAATGCCTGTGGAAGGAGGCGGACAGGGTGACCAGACAGTCCTCGTTCCCTGTGCGAAGGTTCCAACTCCACTAATGTCTGGGAGCAGTCTGAAATGTTTGGTGGCCCTTTTATTGCTTACCTGGGACTGTGCGGGATGCTTAGTTGGTTCTGCACGGCAAGGGCCACACTGTCACCCTTCTGGAACACCATGTCATATGGGCCCTCCCCAAACATCATGGCATATAGCACACAGCCTAGGGACTGAGCACAACTTGGTTATTCTTTGACAGGGGACCAATGGGGGGGGATACCTCTCCTCTTAATTCTGTAGTGAAATGTGACTGCATAAGCTAAAAAGATTATGCTGACCTCAGCCACATGACACCAAACCAGGGTCCAGAGAAATCACCAGGTAGCTGGAGGCTTCTGTACCCCTCGTTTAGCCACTGCCTTCAGGCCTGACATTTAGCTGTACTCACTCTGTTCAAAGAGCGGGATTATACCACTTCCTGAGCAACTGAGTACAGTGTCAGTGACAGCTCCCAGGAAGGAAGTCGAGGGGGATGGGGACACATGCAGTTCCTAGGGCCCCATGCACTCGAAAACAAAGACCTGCCTCTCTACTTCACAGCAGGTACAGAGTAGCATTCCTCTCCCCGCCATACTCCCGCCCACGTGTTCCTCACCCAGACATCGGTCCGCTCATCGATGACACAGTGGCTCTGCACAGAGAAGAGCTCCGGGGCCCGGTAGGAGATGGTGCATCTCTGGGCTGCCCAGTCCTGGAACAGTGGCCCCACAACTCAAAAGTGGGGCACAGGTCATAGTCATGTGACCAAATTGGGGCACACACCGAAAGAAGTTGCGGATGGGGAACAGGAGGGCAAAGGAGCCAGACGCTCTGTTACCTGCAGGGCCAGAGCCTGGCGGGAGCCCTCCACATGGATGCAAGCTTGATTCATGGAGCCCAAGTCCATTAAAACCGGTTGCCCCTCATCTCCAAGCAAGATATTGGTAGGCTTCAGGTCCCTGTAGGGAAGTAGAAATGGCCCATGAGCATCCCTGGACAGGGAGGCTGGAATCCCTGAGGGCAAAAGAATCATGGGGATTGTTCCTTGGGAGGAGAGCAGAGACCTCTTGATCCTCTTGGTGAGGCTCTTCCTTTCTGCCCCGTAAATACGCACGGCCCTCCCACTGACCTGTGGGCATAACCTCTGGCATGAATGGCCTCAAGGCCTCTGCAGATACCGAGCAGCAGCTGAAGGATTTGATCTTCAGTCAAGAAGTTGCCTTTGTCCTTCAGCCTTTCTATCTCATTCCACAGCGTACCCCTCTGCAACACAAGTTTTCCCACAGTTGGAGATGTTTTCTGAGCCTCTGATCCCGGACCCTGATCCCTTCCCTGTGTCACAGCCTATCAACTCTTTCACTGCACGCACTATACACCTCACATTCCCACCTGGGTTCCTCTAAACCCCAAATCTGAAGTGGTCAAACCCAGGACATGACGTCTGCTTCCTAACATGCTTGACTACTCACACAGCCCTTGGTAGATGGCTTTGTTGCAAGCCCCTCCACTGCCAGGAGACTTTCTGACCTTGAAGAAGGGTAGCAGCAGCCAGGCTTCATGTTTGGTGCCCCGCTCTCTCAGACAATAAGCCACAAGGCGAAGGATGTTGGGGTGATGGAAGAGGCGATGCATGTCTGCTTCTCGTTGGGCCTCCTCCCGATCCTGCTGCTCGTGACACAGGATCCGCTTCAGGGCGTAGAAGTGTCCATCATGTAACCCCTCCACTAGGTCCACATAGCTGAACCCACTGTGGGCCAAAGGGGTCAGTGAAGGACCACGGTCATCTCCCATACTGCTAGGGATTCCCTGGAGGGAAGAGGTGGGGGGGGGGGTATCTTTCCCGGTTGGCAAAAACCCTCCCAAGATGTGGCTTCAAGAGGAGTGTGACGATTTTACACTTTGGGCTCAAGAGCAGGAACACAGTAATCTCTGCGGTGCTTTGATCATAAGGCAGTGCTCTGCACATGACAAACGCTCCATAAATATTAAATGAGTAACACGCAACATTTATCAAGTGCTGTGAACCAGTCACTGGGTGAGATGTTTTATATGCATTATCTCATTTAATTCTTACAACTCCATCAGTGACAAAAAAAAAAAAAAAATTATCTCCATTAAGGAGATGAAGAAACCATGGGTTTTCAAGGTCACACAAGGCGGATCCAGGAGGCCTGGCTCCAGAATCCACTGTTTTGACTACCGTATCGCTAGGCTGTGACAGGTGAGCTAAAGGATATGTTAAGAGGATACTTCTATGCCCCTATCTTGTGCAGACTGCTGTCCTTCAGTCGCCATAACGCTGGGGACTACTAGCTAAGTGATTTCCAAACACTCACCCCTCCCCCAGTTTCTGGATGAAGAGGTAGCGCTTGTTGTCAATGATGACAGTTCCCCGAGAGCAGACACACAGCGCGTGGCCCATAGTGTCTCAGTCATCCTCCTCAAGGGCGGTCTGAGGCTGCCGAAGGCTTCGTCCAGGTTGAGTGGGCTCTTCCAGGGGATGCTCTGGGGGCCCAGCGGATCATGCTGGAAGGAAAAAAACGGCAGAGTCGTGGGTCAGGGACAATCCAGACGACCCCTGAAGTACCAGGAGAGCTGGGGCCCAGGTCCCGGAACGTAGAGAAAACGGGCCCTGGCGACGCCAACTCCAAGAAGGTTGGAGTCAGGTGCTTTAAAGCCTCCGGCCACACAGCGACTACCAGGCCGCTTCTTCCAACCCCAGCCCACCTTGAAGAGGCCCCCGCTCCCACGGCCATTGGGCCGCCACGGCAGGGCAGAGGGTAGTTCCGGGGGGTGCGAGGCCCCAGCCCATCTCCAGAATGGCCCACCCCCGGCCTCGGCGCACAGAGCCCGGGGAGAGTCAGCCCCGGATCCCCACTGACCTGGCTCGGGCTGGAGAGAGAAGCGGAAGACCGGAAGAAGTGAGTACGTCATCATTCCGCGCCGGCGTAACGGCCCGCGGTAGCCTAGCAACCGCTGGGCGTACGGATGATGTGGGGGCCAGAAGCAG